GTCCGTTTTTCTCTCTCGCTAATTCTATTTAACTAATCAACTCGAGAAATGAAGAACCCCGAAGAATTCAACCTGTTAGCGAGATCACTTAACGTCGACTTGATATTCGAACGTAATTCATTCTCTCTCATGCCACGAAGATTAAAGTGAATAACAAATTGAACTTAAATTACGAACGATGTTGTTATCAAACGAATACGATCAACGATAAAAGGATTATAAAAGGTTCAAACGCGATAAGACGAAATAATGAATGAATTAACCGATGAAAAAGACAACGCGTTATATTACATAAAGAAAATAATTACATAACCGTAAAACCAACCAGACTGAAACTTGGCGGCAGACGCGGACCGTGTGTTTCATTAAAAAGTTTTATTTAATTCAATCATTCCGATTCTTATTAAAAACTTGAATGAATTCAAATTGAAATGAAAAGGTTGCCTTTAAAAGCAATCTTGTTATTTAGAATATTATCGTAAAATGTTCAACGTTAGCAAATATTTAGTAACTAAGGAAAGGCTCCCTTTTTTTTTTCTTTTTTTTCTTATTGGCCTTGGCTATTAATCATGTTTTTTTAATATAAAAATAAAACGAGTTAATTTTATCAAAGATTCAGCAACAAGCACCGATTTGATTCTATTGATTCGGTATACACTTGGCTTACAAACGAGTAACTTTAGAAATTTATACTGATTAGCCAAATTATCAGAAGCGATTATACAAATATTAACATTGCCAATAGAATTCGTTTACAATATTTTATCCGGAAACGAGAACGTAGCGTAATACAACGCGATATCGAATATAATTTGGCATTTATACAAAATAATTTATATACATACAAAAATTGGATATAAAAAATCGTTCTAATAATTAATTTTTGTTTTGTTTTTTTGATTGATTATCAATTAATAAACGTTCATCCATTGTTTCCTCGTATTCCTCGAATAATAAAAATTAATTGCTCATTATCTTCCATTATTTTCATAATAAACAAATTTAATTCATTCAACAGCATGTATTTCAACTCGTTCAAAAAATAAAAAAATAAAAATAAACGATGTTTATACAAATCCGTAATGACAATAAATTATACAACGACTTTTTTTATCGTTGATTTGGGTAGACGAGTTGTACAATGATCGAATGATATCGAACATATGCGATAAAGCGAATCGATTATCTATATATCAATAAGATCTATGGTATGCAGAAATGATCTATCTAAGTAAAAATTAGTTAAACTGATTGGAAAAGAAGGAATTATTAATAATTACGTTAATCAATGCTATGCAAATGTTAAAAGATTTTTAATTGAATTCCCGTCAATCGTTTTATTCTTTTCTAATATGTTTACTCAGCAAACGCTATTTTTTCGCAGCATACTAAAAGTTCACTGATCAAGGGCAACACGTTGTAAGATCTTTTCGGTTCTAAAATTAAGCACAAAAATATCATCTAATAAAATGGATCAGAGTAAAAAATATAGAAGAATTATATTTTATAGATTATTGAAAGTGTTCTCTTTGGGAGATTTCTTTTTAACTATTTGTTCATCAGATTATTTTATATCCTAATTATAAAAAATATAATTTATGCAAAATCTGATCAGAACAACAATTATGCTTACACACGCTCGAATCAAATATATAATTAAAAAAGAAAAGTGCGTTTAACAGAAATGACATATTATATAACGTAAATAAAATTTAAAATGAAATAATTCATTACTAACATGAGACAACGTATTATTTCTCAATGATAGACATTTTTTTATCTAAAAGCTCACGATCCCTTACCAAAGAAACTCATAAAATGAATCATCGATAAGCCTAAGTTGAGTTATTTTCAATATAGATATCATAAAAAAACAATATTTACACTGTATAAATCATAGATAATTCAAAAGATTATGTCATAAGATAGAAAAAGCGCAACAGAGCGTCATTCACGAATGAAAGTACGAGGTTACCAAACATTTTTCTCTATTTTTTTCTTTTTTTTCTATATTCCTCTCGCACGTACATAAAAGCCAATAAGACAACGAATGGATCGATATAACCAGCAGTTTCTCTCCCTTATCCTGAGAATATATCGGTGTTCTACATCGTAAGTTCTTTCCTTTCCTCCCTTATTACGAACACCTGCTTGATATTTATTTATGTTTGAAGAGAAATCATGTGAAACGAACTAAGATGAGAGTATAGGCAAGATCTTCATTCGTTTAGGTTCTTTTTTTTATAATAGATATACGATTAGATTACTTACAAATAATCCTTCTGCGATATCTATCACTTGATACGTAATTTTCAAATAAAAGAATAACATAAACAAACAAAAGAATACATTAATGAATCTGTGAGAATAAACAGTTTATTTTGAAAATCGCATAATTCATTGTACTAAGAAAAAACGCTTAAAAAAACAAAACTGTACTATCTGAGATGGTTCCTTTTACCTATATTTTAATTATACCGTTAATTAACAAAACTTCTTTTAACAAAATCACGATGATTTTTATCTTGTATTTTTAATCAAAATAAATGACTGAAATGTATGTGGCTTTTTCTAGCGCGACTTGATATAATAAATACAAAGCTAATTATAAATGCAAAATATATATTTATATAGTTCGTAAAAATTAGAAAGGTATGCAGTTCTTACGTTGCATGTATATACACATATACACATAGATATTATGCAAGATCGAAAAGCATTTGCATGTTAACCATATCGATCCATCCGCATACCGTTGGAATTGGACCAAATCACGGACAATATCGATTCTTGAACCGGACGTAACTCTTTATACGCGTGATGCACATTAGGTCAGCTCGATTTAACGCGTCATCTTCCTAGTTGTATTTGACATACATTTATATAAACACATTGAAATAAAAAAGATTTTCTATCGATTATCCCGATGATTGATGCTTAAAACAATAAGAGTTTAAATCTTTTTTATGTCTTATCATCATCGATGATTTAAAACGGTAATATCGATTATTATCTTTCAATTATCGAAAACGAGCATGGATCTCTATCGTTGTATACGTGATTCGCTGTTTGAATTTTCGCGCGCAAATTGAAACTACAAACGAGAGGAAGACGTTGTTCCGATGAAATTTATCGTATTCAAAGATTCTTCGAATGGTAGACGAAAAAACATAGGGAGATTAATTAGTATTACATAGTAATTACCGAATGAATGATATTTCAAAATGAGAAATAACTATCTGCGAAAAGAAGCCGATTACACAATTAGTAATGTGCATATCTCTCGCGAAAGTAGGACAACGCGCAAAGATAACGCGGATAACTGAATAGTCTTGAATCGTTTCTACCGTAATCATTACGTAAACGTTCCAGTAATTAGAGATCCATAGTAGAGTTGCGATAGAACGCAATTAGAAAAATTCTACAGTAGTCGTACAAGTTCAAGTCGTTACGTTGCATTTTAATTAATTGCGAATCCGGTCCATCTTTGTGAAAGTACGTTTCGTGGAATCGTATTGTTTCTATTTTCTTTTTATCAATCGTAAGCAAAAAAATAAAGCTATGAGAACCGATTACAGAATATTGCGATAAACACGTATCAAAGGAAAAAAGCATAAACAGGAAAATAATATACACGTAAATTACTCTAAAAGATAGTCGAATCACGAAAAGGAAGCATATGTTGAAACGAGTAAATTCGCTTGCGAGATGGGGTCCATGGGCGGGTACATGAAGCACGTTTCACAGACTACTGTGCACGTGCGAGTTGTCTTCGGTGCCTCGACCTTTCCCTCTATCTATCTATCTATCTATCTTTCTTTCTTTCTTTCTTTCTTTCTCTCTCTTTTTCTATGTCTTTGCCCCTCTTTAACCTATTACCACCCACAGCGCAAAAGTCGCGAGTTTTAAACGAGACTCTACATATAGGGTGTCTAAGGTTTTTTCTAACCAAATGATCTTTTAAGTGTATTCTATACACAAAAATAAGAAGGTAAATCATTCTATTTATATAAGTAAATTTAAAACTTTGTTGTTCAAAATGCTAACCACATACACGAATGCCAATCCAACATTGCTGCTGAAGAAAATAAACTTTTTTTCCATAATTTTGAATGCACATTCAAAAAAAACTTGAGAGATTCTGTGCTCTTTTACGAGGAAATCAGCGTTGAACTCTCTTACAGCGAATTGAGTATTTTCCGTTGCACAAATCATACACGTAACTAATGCCTACATATTTTTGATTTGAAAATATTTTCGGCATTTTTCGATTGGTAATATTCAACGAGAAAATTTCAAGAGAACTGATATCTATTGAAATTCGCTTAATCGATTCGCTATAGTATAAACAAAATAGATAAGCGTAGAAAAAGATAAATATAATCGTCTGGAAAGTTAGGAACAATCCCATTACTGTCAATGTAAACATAATAATAATTTGTGTAAATGTGAACATTTATAATTTTCATAATAACTTTTTAATGAAGCTTTAAATGATCTATGTTAATATAACATTTTTTCTTCTTTTCGTGGATAAAATACGTTTTACACCGTTTGACCAGAAAACCCTCAGACACCCTTATATAGAGGGTGAGATAAAAATCGATTTTTCAAGAGATTCTTTGGGGGAAGTAATTTATTCATGCAATGATATGCGGTTACAACTAAAGTTTTGCACAAAAATGACAAAAATTAAAACAGTCGTTCCAAAACTTAGATAACAATCTTCCGATTATATTTCGCCATATGTAAATCAATAATTAAAAACGATATGTGTATTAAATATAATAGACACAAATTAATGAGAACAAACGAATATGAACAAATGTTAAAAATTAATAAATAAAAATGCAAAAATAAATTTTTGCTTAAAATTGTTTGGAGGAAAGTGACTTTTATCTCACCCTGTATATAGAAAGAAAGAAATATCAAGAAAATTTGGTCGTATTTCTTATTCTAACGTAGGTGTAAGTTGAAATAATGAGATGAGAAACTCATACCTGAGGAATGTTGGCATAAATTTGACGATTAAGGGAGTCTCGTTCCTTTTCGAGTTCCCTGACTCTGGCTTCGGCTTCTTGGACCCGTTCTTGACACTCCCGCAACGAATCCATTAACTTGTCCCTTTCGTCCAACATCGAAACCATTAATTGTTCGAAGTTCGCATCCTCGCCAGAGAACTGCGAACTTCTTTGACTTATGCTGTCCTCCGCGATCGTTGGCATCACGTCACACATTGCACTCCACATTTTGATGTCGTTATTTTTTTTTTTTCACTTTTCTCTCACCTCCTCCTCCTCCTCCTGCTACTCCTCTTTCTCCTTCTCTTTCACTTCCTCCTTTCTTCACTCTTTTTTCTCTTCGTTTACACGCCCGACAAATTTTCTCGGTACTTTAGCGTGCAAAAGAACAAATTACGATGATAATAACAATGACAATGACAATGACAATGACAATGACAATAACGACGACGACGACGACGACAACGGATAACAAAAACAATGACGATGACGACAGCAGCAGCAACGATTTGTCGGTCGACGATGTATAGGCAACGACACACACACGACACTACTACACTTTATAAAGGAACACACGTGCGTGAAAGCGAAAGACAGTAAAAAAAAAGAGAGATAGTGGTATATAGATAGATGGATAAATAGATAGATAAAGATAATGAAAGAAATATAGAAAAAGAAAGAAAGAAAGAAAGAAAGAAAGAAAGAAAGAAAGAGAGAGGAGAGAGAGTAGCGACGTGCAAAAATGAAGAGAATATACCGGCTGCTTTTCTTTCTTCCCTTGCACCTTTTCTTCCTCTTTCTCACTCACATACACACAAACACGCACTCTATTCCACTCTACCGTACGTCGTCGTCGTCTTATGTTCTTGTCCTTTTCTTCTTCTTCTTCTTCTTCTTCTTCTTCTTCTTCTTCTTCTTCTTCTTCTTCTTCTTCTTCTTCTTATTCTTCTTCTTCTTCTTCTTCTTCTNTTCTTCTTCTTCTTCTTCTTCTTCTTCTTCTTCTTCTTCTTATTCTTCTTCTTCTTCTTCTTCTGCTTCTGCTTCTGCTTCTGCTTCTGCTTCTGCTTCTTCTTCTTCTTCTTCTCTTCGTCTTCTTTTTCTACTCCTGCTCCTTCTTCCTCCTTCTCTCTTTCACTTAATCATTTTCCTTAATCTTCGCTTCCTTCGTCCACGAGTTTTCGTAGGATCAACCAAATTGAACGACATTCAAACAAACAAAAATAAAGAAATAAATAAAAAAGGAAAATATGTAAAAATACGAAAAAGGAGAAGAGGATGTAAACCTCTCTCGCGGAAGAAGCAACGGTGACTGCTGGTAGGCGGAGTACGTAGAGGCGCGCACGGAAGTAGAGCCCTCTGACAGCACACTTATAAACCTTCTGACCACTGTCTAAAGTTTTGTGACAATCGTTTCACTGAAAATAGTAGCCACCGATTTGATGACTTTTGCTCTAATTATTTTCTACCAAAAAAATTTGTATCGCAACGAACGAATCATTGAAACTCTATTCCCAATGATGATGACGATGACGATGACGACGATGAACAAACACAACTCTGTTCATGCTCATATCCGATGTATGCAATAAAGACCACTGAATCCTTTTCCTTTCTCTTATTTTCCCTTTAATACTTGCTCCTTGTGTACTCAATTTCTTGTATTTCTTTTGCTTCTTCTCTCTTCTTTGCAATCATAAAAACGGACTATAGCAGAATTGGACCACTTGAAATAGAAATACGTTCTGGTTCGTTCGTTCTCTTTTCATTAGAATCGATCGCACAAAAATAAAACTCAACGAATAAAAACGATAATGGAGCACGCTGTTAAAACTCTTTACGAAGTCACCGTTTATATTTGCCCTTTTTCATTTGTTCTCTTCTCCACTCTCACCATTTTTATTCACTAATATTTTTGCGCTACTATTATTTCATTCATGTGTCATCGAACAGTAGCAAACTCGATATCTCTTACTCTCTCGATCTTCGTTGATGTCCAATCAACGAGGACCTTAGCCCAGAATAGAAAACAGCGATGTTGATAACGAAAATTAAAAGGAAAATAAGCAGCAATTGTTGTGCCCTTTTTCCCTGTTTCTTCTCTTTCTCCTTTTGATTTCATTCAGATAGTTACAGTTTTTCTTGCTTACATATAATTCTCCAAAAACGATTAATTCGAAAAAGGGTGAGAGAGAAAGAGAGAAAGAGAGAGAGAGAGAGAGAGAGAGAGAGATAGAAAGAGAATTCGTTTTTTTCTTCCTTATAGAAACTTCAATATGTTTGCGTTCGATTACCTCGGTGAGGACGAACAAGAAAGGAAAGAGAGAGAAAACGAGAGTTGTAGACAAAAGAGAAAATGAGGAGCACTCGTTCCTCTTCTAATCTTTCTTTGAAGAATGAGTTTTATCTCTCTCTCTCTCTTTCTTTCTTTCTTTCTTTCTTTCTTTCTTTCTTCTTTCTAGCAGTCAGTCCTTCGTGGTTATACGTATTTATTAGTTTTATTCACCGTCCAAGAGATGCCCAAAGAAATGTAAATGATAATCGCGACTCAGGACACTGGGAGTCGCGCGGATCTACGTGTGAATCTCGGCATCCCGATGACAACAGCATTATCGCGGGGAAGACCGAACACTGACACACCTACGCCGCTCGATTCCAATTATTCTTCCCCTCCCCCACGCTTTCTCTCTCTCTCTTTCTCATTTACTCACTCTTCCTATCTCTATCTTTCTTTCTTTCTCTTTTCTTTCTCCTTCTCTTTCTCCTTCTCTTTCTCCTTCTCTTTCTCCTTCTCTTTCTCCTTCTCTTTCTCTTCCTCTTTCTCTCTCTCTTTCTCTCTTTCCTTTTTCTTTCTCTCTCACACTACGTCAATTTCGGGTTTACAATTTCCCACCCTTAAGCCTATCGTTTCGCTCATGATCCTTATTCGACATGCTGTGGCCCAGAGACAGTGGCCATTTTGTATCTGACGTCATCCAACGACACTGATACAGTTCTTGTCACTGGTCCGATCACGCAAAAAGGAACGAGCGCCCTCCCAATGGCTGATTTTCATTCGATATATTGCGATTTTAAACTACCTTCATAAACATGCACATATAGAAATATTTTATTAAATATTATTATTTAATTAATTAATATTATCAACGGTATTTGCTTAATTGTTAAATTACGCATTTGAAAAGCACGTATATTAAATGTATAAAGCTATTTGATTCAACCAATCGTAGTCAACTAATTGTTAACCAATCGTATTAAAATAATTTACTACCTCGAAGCTGATTCGTTTACATGAAATACATTATGCATGTATGATTGCACCATTGCAACATTTTTGCAATTATTTAAAATTGAATTCTATGATTGGTTAGTAATATTTGGTACTGTTAAATTTAACATTTGAGAAACACATATTTTAAATGTGTAATGCTATTCGATTCGACCTATCCTAGCCAATGCATTGTTGACCAATCGTATTGAAATGATTTACCAACTTGAAATTGATTCGTTTTTATGAAATATATTGTGCACATATAATTACACCATTGAAATTATTACAACATTTTACAATTATTTGTTAGGTTTTACCAATGGTTACGTTTAGACTCATATTGCGAATTAAGAGAAGTTATGAGAGCTAATTTACGATGTAGAATTTACGATCCAAGTTTGAAATTCGATTACTTTTTATCGAATTGTTATCGCTATCAATTGGTATTAATTTTTTATCATGCTATATTTCAGATAAAGTGGTATATTTTTTAATATTACTTTTTAATTTTCAAATAAAATGTTTGATGTAATTTCTATTATTTTTTCTATTTCAAATGCTTCATGTTAATTATAAATATTTATATGAAGATATTTCAAAGGGAAATGTTGCCGAAACGGAATATGTTTCTAAAGTAAATTAATAGACGTATTTATACAAAATTCAATGTAATAATAAAAAAAGATGCGTGTATTTAAATACGTTACGTCGATAGATCAACTGCGCGCCACTTTCTGAAGAGAGAATCGCGCTACAGCGTGATGCTGTGATCAATATCGGTATTATGGCTCAGCCTCCTTTGGACCATCATCAAATGTCAGACGGATTTGAAAATAGAGGAAAAAAAGGAGAAATGAAAGCCGTAACGCATACTTGTACGTCAAGAAGTGGTAAGTACGGGTACATAATCAAATAAATGTTATCTAATAAATGTATTCCAATTTTATGTTTTTTCTTAATAAATTACATATTAAAATTTCTCTCAACGATTAAAGTTGTCTCGCTTTACCCACAGTTTTTTTAATAGCATATTACAAGTTTTACCATTTTATTTTATACGTTTAGTAAATGAATATTTAAAACAAATATTTGATTTTGTTTAATATTTACATATTTTTCCAATTTGTATTATAATTGATAAAATTACATATTTCTAATTGTTCATAAATATTAATTAATTTTTATATTTGTTGTATTAAACAATCAAACATTTTTTATTTAACAAAAAATTGTATTAATTTTTCTGTTTATTTTCAACTTAAACGCACATGACTGTTGTCAATTTTTTATTCGTTGCAGTTTTAGATTTTCCGGAAGGTGATTCAATCGAAGACATCGCTGAATCTGTCGATGAATTGCGTGAAAAATTAGCGAATATGAAGAGATTAATGGAGGAACGTAAGGGAACGACTCTGGGGGAAATCAGTGCACGTAAAAGGAAAGAAGCTTCGGATATAATAGACGGAAATTTTCTTTCTTGGATTTTTGGTTCTGCACTAATTGTCATATTGAGCGTTAGCTTTTATGCTTTTTATAATCTTTATCATGCGGTACTCAAAAAATTCCCTTCGCATCATACAGAGTTGTAAGAAAAGAAAAAGATAAAAAGATTTAAAAGATATAGAAAAGAAACATGGAGAAAGTAAGAAAAAACAGTGAAAAACCCGTCGAATGATTCGTTCGAACGGTAATTTCTGCTCACTTTTTAATTTCCCTTTGATTGTATTTCATTCAATGACGTTAAAATCGCAATAAGCGATAACAAGATTTCTTTTTCTATCGTTTTTCTATCCTTTCAGAAGACACGATACAAAAGAGAAACCAAAATGGCTAACATAACTCACCCCCAGAAGAAACACCGTATGCTGGTGTAATGCGTTTTTTCCGGTTTACGATGTAATCGTGACTAACAGACCGACGAAATCTCCGATTTCAATTATTTTAATTATCTGTAGGCAAATTGAAACAATATTGAGGCGACACGTGATATTTTTGTCCATAAAATTTTATATTACAAAAAAAAAGAAAGAAAAAGTATATTTCACTTTGATCAAAATTTTAAACGTATGCATTAAGATTCTTTAATTTTTGGTTATTATTATTATTATTATTATTATTATTATTATTATTATTATTATTATTAGAGAAATTAATTGAATAATGATTTAAAAATTATGCGTAAAACACTGACACATTAAAAGGAAAAATTAGAAAGAAGAAAAAATAATAATCGGCAAAATATCGAAAAAAATGAGAAAGTGCCTTAATATGTCGTTCCGCATAATTTCTACCCCAATGTACAAAACGTGTAATCAGTATCATATAAAATTGATTAGTCGTTCAAATGTTAATTTGTTTAATTCGTTGTTAACCCATTTATAAATTTTATGAAACAGCGAAAATAATATTTATAATTAAAAATCGTTGAGAGAGTATTACGTGTTCACCTCAAAATGAATTCGAATGGAGTTCGTTCGATTACCCGATTATTTCTTAAGCACATAAATTGTAATCTCGATAATTAAATAAATAGCATTTCTTTTGCGTTACAATATTTCATTATAATCGAACTGTATAAAAATAGTGATTCCAAATGTATATACAGAGTTAATAAAAAAATAAAAGATCTCAATATTTAATAATTATTCATCAATATCGATATTAAAAATAATTTGATTATAGAAAAGACAGCAAAAATTAAATCCAGAAACAAATAGTATTTTATTTGCTAATATTTTCCTACGTACTTCGTAATCGAAAATGGACTGAAGTTTTATTTAAAGAAAATAAGGATTTCTCGTAGCCAGAAACTATATAAAAGAAAAAAATATATACACATGAAACAAATATTAAAATTCATTTCAAAAAGATTTATGTCGATGTACCACATCCTGATCCTTTATTTTCCAGATCTTTGGTGAAACGTGCGAGCATTGTTTCGTACTCCTCTTGTTGCTAAAATGACAACATCACAAGTGTGTCATTTTATATTTTTTTTTTTAACAGATAATTTTTTATTATGGATATTTTAATTTAATTTGGAATACCTTAACAGCCTCTTTCTTTAATTCCTCTCGTCGAAGAGACAAATTGGAAACTTGACTTTGCAAACATTTCACCTAATAATAAAATCATGTTTATGTGAGATATTAATAAGAAATTTAAAAATATTCATAGAGGAATAAACAAACCTCTTCTTCGGTTTTATGGACATCTAATTTAAGATCGCTTATTAAAGATTTGTAACGATTTCGACAAGTTGAAGTTTTACTTTCTATATCGTTCAACGCATTTTCTACGCTTTTTATCTTATATTGCGATTGTTTTAGCTATATTTTATCCCATTTTATGAGAGAAAAAATTAAATTATCAGTGAAATATTAATGAAAAAAAAGTATACGATATAACAAAATTACGAATTATTTATAGAACATATAATCAAATTATTTAGGTCTAACCATACGTTCCTTCTTTGTAAGTTTGTCGGAAAGTGTTTGAAGTTTTATATCCATGTTTTCTTCATTCTAAGTACATTATCATTCATAAGGATATATAAAATAATTAAAAATTGATATATATATATATATAAAAATATATTTTATTAAAAATTAAAATAATCTGTAATAATAAATTACTTTATTAAATGTAGTAATTACGATGTTTTTTCCTTCGTCCAAAATCTATAATGAAATGATAATACAAAAAAAGAATTAATAAATGTATATATGCATACTCAGTGTTCTAGTTTTCTTCACCAAATTTTACCGGCATATTTTTTAAGTTAATATAAGATAACGTTTATATAAAATTCATTTCTTATTTTTAATTATAGAATATAGTGGTAAAATTTTGCAGAGAAAAATTTCTGTCATTTCAGTATATAACGCGTAGAGAATATTTTATTGTATCTTTTTTAAAAATTTAAAATACTAACACGTTTCTTTAATTTCTCTCTTTCATCTTCATTCTGAAATTAAATGGTTATAATAATTCAATTTCTCTCAAATAAATTCAATAATATTATAATTTTATTATTGTAGTCTTACTGAGATTATAATAAAAACAGTAATGTATAATACAACAAACAGGAAAATCCATGACGTTTTTGATAGAAAAAATGTTAATATAGCTGTCCACATGGCTTTGTAAATTTAAACATTAATATTCTAACCAAATCATATCGTATTTGAAAAGAATTTCACTAAATGACATTAAAAAAACTATCAAATCAAATTTATTTATAATTAATTATTCAAATGAAGATCAAAATAAAAAATTGATTTGAAAATCGAGAAAATCGATTTAAATTGATCGACATTTTCCCGGGCTCGTTCGAACAGTGGACACGGAATAAATCATACGATGTACCGTGATTTTCTTTTTTATAAAAAAAAAAAATAACTTTCCTGTTTAAAAACTTGTTGCAAAAATTATAATAATTTTAATCAATGTTCAATTGTGTTTCACGTTATATGAAAAATTATTTTTTCTAGATTTAGGTAAAACATTAAATTTTTACTTGGAATTAATATCTCTTGTTTTGATCTTCTTTCCCTGTCTAAAATAGATATTCAATTTTAGATTTAAACATACTGTTACTAAATTATTTCTTTACACGAATTTACAATTGTATAATAAGTTTTAAATAATAGCACACACGTAGTCATTTAATATTTCTTATCGACGAAGTATGCTATACATGTCAAGTCTCTGAATAGACTTTAAAATTTGACATTTCATTTTTTAATAAACCATTTAAATTAACGTTAAGCAAAAAAAAAGTTCATGTTAAGTCACCTTCGTAAAATATGTATTCGCGTATTGTTATTAAAAAGGAAAGATACAAGAAAGAGTAGAAAATACTATTCATGCTTAACCAATAAAAATGAAGTTTATAGATATAAAAAAGTTACTTACATTAGTCACGATGCTAATAATCCCAGAAATTACTTAAATTATTCTAGCGAAAATGTTACTTTGCCATCTCAATCGCAGATTGTTATTGCAGGTGCAGGGACAGTTGCTAATTCTGTTGCTTATCACCTTGTCCTTAATGGGTGGAACGATGTTCTGGTACTGGAGCAAAACAGGTCATTTCAATCTAATCAATTAGTTTTGTTATTTCATATTTCATTACTTACAAACCAAATCATTACTATACCTTGAATGCTTATAGGATTGGTAGTGGGACATCACATTTTGGATCTGGAACACTTGGTTTATTCAAACCCATTTCTCACCGAAACTTGATATCCTACAGTATTAAATTATATCAGAAATTAGAAGAAATGGGATATGATATCGGATTGAAACAATGCGGGAGCATAAATTTAGCGCAAACTAAAGATAGATTAATAGCTTTAAAAAGGAGAATGGCTTATAATGTTCCAACTGGTTTGCATTGCGAGGTAAATATTATTTAAATATAATATACAATATGATATGTAATATTATACAATTAACGCAGATAATTAAAAATTACTGCATACAGATATTAGATAAAGACCATCTGAAACAATTGCATCCTTACCTGCATGTAAATGATATCGAAGGAGCTATTTGGGTACCAGAAGATGCAGTAGCAGATCCCAGTACTATTTGTGAAGTTTTAGCTAAATTAGCCAAACAAGGAGGAGCAAAATATATTGAAAATTGTCGCATAGAGCAAGTCTACACTAAAAACAAAGCTGTACAAAGTGTGCGAACTGATCAAGGCATGGTCATATGCGAATATTTCATTAATTGCGCAGGAATGGTAAAACAGATGATATTTATTCGTTTAATTAAAATATGGCAATTGACATTTACTTTATGATATTAATTTTAACAATATAGTGGGCTCGAGAATTAGGTTTAAGATGTAATCCACCCGTTAGAATACCAGCGTATCCTGCAGAACATTTCTATGCAATTACACCTCCTCTATCATCAGACTTGAAAATGAATCTACCATGCGTTAGAGATTTTGATTCATATTCGTATATGAGAGAATGGCAAGGTATATTTTGTATAATTCAATTGAAATAATTTATGAGGATAATAATATTATTATTACAATATATTGTAATTTAAATAAAATCAAAATATGAAGTAAAGTTATTTCATATAAAACAGGAGGTTTATTGATTGGTTGGTTCGAAGCTGAAGCTAAGCCTGCATTTGAAACTGGATTAGTTTCATCTAAGGATTGGAGGCAATATGTAAAAGACGATCCTAGTCATTGGAAACCTCTCTGGGATAAGGTTTTACATAGAATACCAATTTTGAAAAGTTTACCGAAACCAAATGTATATAATTATCCAGATAATTTTACTCCAGATGGTAGATGGATTTTAGGTGAAAGCCCTGAAGTGAAAAACTACTTTGTTGCTGTGGGAATGAATGGAAATTCACTCCAAGGTAAACGGTATACATAATGTTTGATATTTATAAGCATTTTACTAACTTTAATAATTCATTTAATTTTGTAAGGAGCGGGAGGTATTGGAAAAGAAGTCGCCGAATGCTTAATAAATGGTGAATCTACCCAAGAACTCCTTCCGTTTAACGTGCAAAGATTTTTAGATCTGCATAATAATAAACAGTATTTGCAGCAAAGAATTAAGGAAGTAGTTGGACGAAATTACGCTATACTCTATCCTCATCAAAGCGAATACAAATATGCTCGTAAATTACGTTGTTCGCCACTGTATTCTGTTCTTGAGGAACGCGGGGCTATATTTGGTGTTAAAATGGCATACGAACGACCACTTTATTTTGATTCGAACTACGTTCGTGAGTAAATTTATTTTTTATTTTTGTTATATCAATACATGCAGGGTATTTTGTTTTATTCAATTATACTACTTCCAAAGGAGGACAAAAAAAACCAGTTATGCCATCAGGGAGTTTTTATAAACCTAAATTTTTTGACTTCATGAAGGAAGAGTTTCAAGCATGTCGAGAGGGTGTAGGAATAATAGATATGAGCTCATTCTCTAAAATTGAAATTAAAGTAAGTTCAGAAAACTTATTAAAATATATTTTTTTCTAATTATGTCAAAATTTAAATATTCATCATTTAATTAATTATATAGTCTAGTCGTTTGGAAGTAGTAAATTACCTTCAAAAATTATGTTCCAATAATGCAAACATACCAATCGGTGGGATAGTGCACACAGGTATGCAAAATGAAAGAGGTGGCTATGAAAATGATTGTATGCTAGTTCGACAAGCAGAAAATAGTTATTTTATGGTTTCACCCACTTCACAACAAACGCGTATTTATCAATGGATGTCCAGGTAATTAATAATATTTGAAATCATGTTTTATTGATTTTTGTATAATCTGTACGTGCATAGACAAATTATTATTGAGTATAATTTAATTAATACGATTTTATATATAATCTATCTTATTATTACTATTATAAAAATAATTTACTTTGAAGATGTATTTTCTTCAAATACATAGGCATTTACCGCATGATCATTCTGTTGGTCTTAATGATGTGACTTCAAAATATACAGTTATTAATATGGTAGGACCTAAATCTACTGAATTACTGTCAGAACTTTCTAATTCAGATATTAATCTATTTCCTTTCACATACAAGGTACTTACAACTTATTGGTGGCACAATAAGTACCAAATTTATTTTAGTCACATGTAAATATGTAAATTTAAAAATTATACTTCCATTATACAGACGGTAAATGTAGCATATGCCTCGGATGTAATGGTCATGGCATTTACACATACTGGTGAATCTGGATATTGTTTATATATACCTTCAGAATATGCACTGCATGTGTACTCAACGTTAATGGAAATTGGAAAAGATTATGGAGTGCGCGATGTCGGTGTGCTCACACAACGCTTCATGAGAATAGAACGTTTTATTCCCTTTTGGGCAGAAGAATTAACTCCATTCGTTACACCCTATGAAGCTGGGTGTGGATATAGCATTAAACTGGATGTAAGTAAAAATATTTATTTATAAAATGATATTAAATTTGGCATTTAAAAATTTTCTTTTCTTTACATTTTATAGAAAGAATATTTTATTGGAAAATTTGCACTACAACGTCAGAAAGAAGTAGGTGTCACCAAGAGACTAGTATTATTTATGCTTAATGAACTCGATGCAAATAAAAATATATGGGCATGGGGCGGGGAACCGATATATCGAAATGGTGAATTTGTTGGAACCATTACATCCGTGGGGTAAATATTTGTAATAAGTTCAAATGGACGCAAACGATGAATATTTTTTTATATTTTACTCATAATTATTTTATTAACAACATATTAATTTGGTAGGTACGGCTTTGCTACGGAAAAACTTATTTGTCTTGGTTTTATCAGTTTACCTGGAATGAAATATCTTCAAAACAGCACAAACGTTGTTACTACGGATTTTATAATGGAATCAACGTCTCATTATGAAATAGATATCGCTGGATGTAGGTTTTCAGCGAAACCTCATATTCATCCCTTGCCAATTCCTGCATTGAACAGTAAACTCAATAAAAAATATATTCCCACACCGGTTACGTCTTATCAAAGCGATATATCACGATAAAAATACTGCGTTTGGTCTTTAAATATATATTTCATTTATAACAAAAAAACTGTAGAAAGTATATTATGGTCTCGTAAGTAAAAAGATGATTTGTGGAGAGAAAAAAGAAAATAAGAAGGAAAAAAGTTGCACATTAATTTTCACTCTTTTGTTCTTATTTCTTATACCCGTAGTCCTTTTGTTAGCTACTATAAAATTAAACAGCTTATATGGTATACAATTTGCACTATACTACTTTCAAGTATATATTTATTTACAAATATATAAACTGTGCAAAAAAGAATGAGTTGTAATCTAAAGAATAAGTTGTAAAATAATAAAGTATGAGTTGAACATACTCGTTGGTCTGTGAAGCAATAAAAATTCATAAATTCATAATTATAAGTCATTCTCCGTGTATTATTAAGTGCTACTTGCAACAAAAATGATGAAATTGTAAATTTACAATTTCTATTTGTTTTCGTATATAAATTATTATTATTATTATTTTTATTATTATTATTATTATATATATATATATATATGCAGTATTTTTAATCATTTTATTAATCAAATTTATAGTAATTATATCCATATAATAAAACTCTATTTATTATGAACAATAGAAATGCTGCAAGCATTTGTTTTTGAAACTATTATTTAAATTATCACTTATATACAAAAGAATGAGCTACCATAGCGATAAGAAACTTGTTTATATATTAGTTGGTACCATAATAATAATTACTCAATATATATATATATATAAAAGAAAAAACTACAAAGCACATTCCGCTTCAATGTTATAATTACAAGCTATGAATCTATAATAGCAAATTGATTTTATATAGATTTTTGTTTGTTGTTTCTCCTTTTTAACATTTCCATGAAAAAAATAAAAATATAGTAAATAGGAATTTCAAAATAATTGATGGAAAGTACCTATATTAGATGTTGAAGCTATTACTTTGTAAAATCACCAATGTACAGATTAATAATCTGCAATACTTTTTTTTAGACATACAATTTAATTACGATGCCCATGCTTCTAATTCTTTTAAATCCTCATCTTCCTCTGGTTTAGCTTCTGTAAGAAATAAATAATATTTCAATTATAATATTACACATATATTATATCGATAGAATATATAAAATACTTTTAGATATTCGACTCTTATTATTATATGAATCATTACTTGTACGAGTTCTTGCAGGAGCAGATGGAACAGCTGGAACAGTTGTAGCAGGTATTGCTGGTAATTCATCTGTAGATTCGATACCAAGTAATTCTTTATCAAGTTGTTCCTGTTCAAGTTCTTCTAGTTCTTTTTCAAGTTCTTCTTCATCTATATCTTGACCAAATGCTACAGGATTAGATATTGCATCAGAAATCTCTTTAGCAACATCTTGTTGTTCAGCAATATCATCCATCATATCGTGAACTTGATCGACGTCCCTGTAATAAAATTAATATAAAGTATCTTTTCTCTTGAAAACACAGCTATCTTTAATTATAACACAACATCAATGCACATATGTAAACCCTAAAGCTTAAGTAATCGTCCTAATATGCATATTTCTAAATAAAAACAAAATTTAATATATATTACCAAAATACTTATAACAATTAAAAGAAATTTCTTACATGTGTTGATGAGCAGATTTTAATGCATCCGCTGCGCTTTTCATGGTGGTAAGTACCGCAGTATTTGTGTTGGCACTTTCCAGAGCTTCTCTTTGCATTTCAATCGTTGACAAAGTACCATCGATTTGTTGTAGCTGCTTTTCATAACGCTTTTTTCTTTTGAGAGCTTGGATAGCCGCTACAAATGACATATGAATATAGAACATATTTCTCATTATTAATATATCAGATAATTCAAAGTTAATTAAAATAAATATTAAATAATGTATCTTATATATAATCATACGTGCAAACATATATGCATTATTTGAAGTTCAAATAATTGCAATGAAAAATTTGAAAAAACTAAAACTTGACAAAGGTTTTAAAGGATATCACAATGACAGATGACCTTAACCATTACAAAATTACTTGAAATTGATATTAATTTTAATTGTTATAATAAAAGAAAATAAAAACAATCTTGGGATTGAGCTAAAGTAGTAAATAGACAGTAAAAAATACCTCTCTTGTTCTTCGTTCCATTTTTTTTCGCTGTTTGAATTTCAAGTTCAATTTTGCTTTCAAGAAAGTCTTGTTTCTTAATCAGCATATCCTCGGTTTCACGCAATTTTTGAATAGCCTCGGCCGTTGATGGTGCAACTGGTTCCTTTTTACCACCAAATACTTTGCTGAAGAAACTCATTTTGACGTTTTATTGTCCAACTTGATAATCACGATAGAAAGGATCACACAGTAACCTTAAAGAAAATATATACTTTAGCTAATATCAAAAAAGTATCACCACCGATCGTGCCTCTATCACCGCCATATTTTCTTAGGCATTTGATTTGACTTGCGTCATGAGTCATCACTAACAATAAGTAAATCCATGATTCCCACCTACTTGTTCCTATATTACGATAAAATATTTTTAAAATATAATAATTATATTTTATATATAGCATTGTCAATTAATTTTGGAAATAACTTCAATTAATACTATAAACAAAAACATTTCCTAAATGTTTCCTAGCCTGTTTTGTTGATTTCAAATGTAAATCATATTTAAGCTTAAATTTTCTTTTCTCAAATTCTTCCTTTCATACTTCAATTGTTAATTTTAAAAAATTGTATTTTTCACATCTATCTTTTCGTGGTCTATTAAAGTGCAAATTAAAATAATTTTTGAAGATTCTTCTGTGTACATTCTTTTATCAACATGTTGCTTATCATTTTAACACTTTTCACTTTTAAATATAGAAATTAAGCATTTTGTTAATGTTTAGACCGTTAATTAAAAGCTCTTTCAATAAAATCTCAATGATTATTAAAATATTGATTGAAAAGTTTTTTAGTGAAGAGAAATCACGTTAAAGTATACTTAATATTAACATTAATTTGCTTTCTTTAAAGAAATCAAATTTTATTTTTAAAATAAATGGCTCATATAGAGAGATTTCATTTGACACGTAGGGAATGAAAATATGGTATGTCTGGCGACACTGGCTTGCTATTATATTTTTAAAGAAACGTTCAAGAGATTTGTTTGTTTAAAATAACTCAATATATACGCATAAAAATTAGTATGACGTTGTAAAATTATATCACTCTAGTTTATAAATATATTATTATTATTAGCTGACGATAGGAACTTGGAAGTTCATTGCCGTAAATATTAAATCGCGCCTGTGTTTCAGTCCCTGAGCGCAACTCCTCCATTCGCGGTCTTCGTACTCTATTTTTTTAAAATTCCTCCTAATATTGTCCTCCCATCTACGTCTCGGTCTACCCAGTGGTCTTTTCCCGTTCGTTATAAATATATATATATAGATATAATTACTAAAATATTTTAAAACATATATAAATATACAATACGTATTTATACATATATATTATATATAGAAAGGACAAATGAAATAGATTTATAAATATATACAGATAGGATAACTCACGTAATTGTAATAAGAACTATAAATTAATTTTTTAGCTTTTTTTTTTAACGGCGCTATTTAAATTATTTCATTAAATTAATTTTCATGGATAACAATAGTGTATTGCAAAATGATGTAAGTAATTATACAGTTTTAACTACGTATTTTTGTACGCATTTGAAATTTTGTTTCGTGTTGCGTTCATTTTTATCTTCGTGAACTAGATTTAGCTTGATTAACGTTTCGTAAGACTATTTAAAAATAAATAAAATGTCTTCCCAGGCGTACGCTTTACTAGTCTTCCCTTGATTTTCGGAATTCACTTCCTTAGATTTAAATATTTACGATGAGACTATCGTGGCGCGATGCAGATCGGGTGAGATTCAAAAAGTGTCTAAATAGAATATATCTTCAGTAATTAGTTATTGTGTTTTAATATAATTAATCATATACAATAAATAAATATCTTTTCAATAATAGATTTAATTTGAATGATTTTATATTGCCTATATACAAGATTATATCTGTTGTTTATTTCAGTTTGAGTCATATGGTATTTAAATTCTTTAGATTTCTTTTAGATTTTGTTATATTATATAATATGTAAAATCCTTTTTCTTATTCTAATGTTATTTCTTAACAGGATTTTAGGAAACATTTACCAGGTGGTGAAACTACCGAGCGTCATCTAACTGAAGTTTTGCATTCTGTGAGAACTGATTTTAAACCACTACCTGGTTTTGATCCAAACAAGGATGATCTTGAATATTTTCGTGCTCAACAAGGAATTGATTGCGATGAAGTATATCCTGGAATATTTATAGGAGATGAGTTAGTACTTGCATTGGAATTATTGCATTTATATATAGAATAGGAGTGAAAAAATGACCACAATGTGAATTGTATCTATTGGATAATTAAGTGGAAGAATAATCTCACCTTGTGTATGAAAGGTCTCAGATTTTATTTGATAATTTAAAATGAAAATTTACGAGTCTCTTTTCCACTTACTACATTTTAGAAGGTTTCCAATTGTCTTTTCAAATCGTTGTAACAATAGTATTAAATTTCATGTAATAGGGCCACGGCAAAAAATAAAAATTATCTTGCAATGATCGGTATAACACACTTGCTTAATGCTGCGGAAGGAAAGAAATTTGGATTTGTAAATACCGACAGAAATTATTATAGTAATACAAGAATAAAATATCTTGGATTACCACTGGCTGATTGTCCAAGTGTTGACATAAGCAAGTACTTCTACACTGCGGCATCTTTCATCGATGAAGCTGTTTCTAATAATGGTAAATTCTTATACATTTGTACATATTCATTTATATAGACATGTTGAGATATCAAGTTTTATGATTTTTATTATCTTTATTGCATACGTAATTACTAACAAATTTCTTAAAGAAAATTTCTGCAGTTTGTACCAAAAAGACTCGATATGCAAAACAAATTTATTTTTAATCACATCACGAATAAAATAGAATTTTACTTATTACATATAAAAGGTTTAAGTTGAATTTAAAAGGTTCCACTATCTTATTATTAAGGAAGTTATCAAAGAAATAGTAAGTTATGGTAGACATTATAAAAATACATTGTAAAAATAATTTATTTCATGTGTATCATTTAAAAACTATATACAATTTTATTCAAAGATTTTTTTATTAATTGCATGCATAAAAAAGATAATTAAAGTCATGCATTAACTGTTATCCACAAATGTATATTACTATTGTATCACCTGGAAAAATGGCTTCGATTTTAATATAAGAAATTGGTTGTATATAAAAGTGAAATAAATTTTCCAGATGATTCAATAATATTACCTTTTCAAATATCTAACGCACGCATATGTGTGCGTGATCATGTAATAAGTATTTTTTAATCATGTCATACGCATATATATTAGGTAAAGTTTTTGTACACTGTGTGGTGGGAGTATCTCGCAGTGCAACGTGCGTCTTAGCATACTTGATGATAAAGAAGAATATGTTGGCTGTTGATGCGGTAAGGATAGTCCGTGAAAAACGCGATATTTATCCAAATTATGGATTTCGCAATCAATTAGCTCAACTGGATAATCAACTGCGTCGACAACGTTTGTAATAAAAAAAAACAAGTTTGAATTGGCAAATATCTATAGTATATAACATTATGCGGATTAAATATGATTGTAGATACGCGGGTTCAATGTATCATACGTTTCTTGTAATAAGATGATTCTTAAATTGTACTTATATCTTATAATAAATAATAATCAATAATCACAAATATATATCTAATGTTAATGCTTGCTTCAAAAGTAAAATTGATTTCCTTTCCTGTATGTTTTACAATATTATAACATATATTATTATAATTTCTATTATGATTCAGATATTTCTTATAGTATGTAACGTTTTATATCAAATTCTCAGATATAAAATTGTAAAAAATTAAATATTTTATTGAAATATAATATAGGACTAATCTTATATAAAAAAAGAAACATTATTTAAAATTTCTATTGTATAAGAATAGAATAAAAGTTAAAATAATCTTATTTTCAAATCTAATAAAAAAATTACGTACCGTTAGTGCGATTTCTCTACAAGAATATACAATCCTAACATGTACCTCGTAATATTAAGAACTTCACTATTAGTACTGTTTAAAATAGATACAATAAAATATTTTATCGAATATTACATAAATTAAATATAATCTCTTGAAGTAATACTATTATACGGAGAATCATATTGTATCAAAATATACTAAAGTTTGAAAAAAATTTTCTTTTTCGTAAAAATTATATTTAATTTATTATTCGTGGCCTTTTATTATGCAATTCTATACTGTGATTTGTTAAACTTATTTGACTATCTACTTCCTCTAATCCACTACGTTTTCTTGCTTTTGGCGATGATTGCTTTAGACATTCCATATCGTTAAATACTACTTGAGCTCCTCCGCCAGAAGTTGGTAAAATATCTCCCTTAAAAAGTTTAGTTTCAAGTTCTCCATCAGTATCATGTTCTTGTGCGACAAGGCAATACCTAGACGCACCATCTGTAATTTCTTTTGGACTTGTAAGCCGGGTAACACTTCGTCTTCTACGCATTAATGGTTGGAGAACAGTACCAAGAGGAGCAAGTGCTCCAGGTCTATGATCAATCCATCTATCTGCGCTTTGAGAACGTCTATACCTTACATTTGATACCATTGTTTTGTCTCTCCGTGATCTTCCTTCTGTAAAAGGTACTAACTTTTTCGTAATATCTGCTACACGAACAGGCGTAACAGGTGGTACATCCTTGGATAAAATATTTTCTGAATTAACGTTCTCGTCAATTAAAATTTGTTTAACTAATCTCAATTTGTCATCTTGGGCTTTCATTTGATTCTGAAGTTGTTCGCGTTGCTGACGAAGTTTTACTTCTAATTCTTTATTCATCTTATCCGTCTCTACCTGTATCTTAGTATTATATTTTTGTTTGACCCTTTGTTTATCTATCAAACGTTGATTTAATACCATGTCTCTATTTTTTACTTCCTGTTGCATTGTTTTTATTGTTTCATTTGCACTGTTTAATTTGCAAATCAAACTATCGATTTGCGCTTCCGTTTTTCCAAGATGACCTTCCAAAGCTATAATCTTTTTCTTTTGCTGTGCGTTCGTAGCTTTCAATGAAGCATTATCTACTTTTAAACTAATATTTTCTTTTTCCATTGATGAAAGCATTTTTCTGAATTCATTTTCTACAAAAAAAAAATAGAATCAAATAAAATGTATTTTTAAAAAATATTTATTAGCTTTTATATATATATAATAAATATATATAAAAAATATATATATATTTTTTTTATTTATTTACATATTTACATATTTATATAAAACTACATATAATGAAAATAAATGTCTTACGCTTTTGTTGTAAATCAGTTCTTAACATATTTCGTTTGTTTATTCTTTGCTCCAAGAAGTGCATTAAATTTGTTA